TCTTAGCAGGTGCCTCTCCCAGACATTCAGTTTCGGTTTCAGAGGTGAAAACTACGTGCCATCCCTGCCTGGTCCAAAAGACTGCTCCCAAATGTTGTCCAGTAGAGGAGCCCACTGGGATTCTGGATTTTAAGGAACTTTTCTCTGCTCACTTTCACCTCAACCTTTACTCCTCAAGCCTGTGACAAGTCTCCTGCACCCTTGAGGAAGAGATGTACATCCTCCCCAGCCCCAGTGACCCCTCAGGGTATGAGGGGCCCCACAGGCCTGCAGCGGGGAGGAAAGGCAGCGGGAGGAAATGGGGGGGTCCGCTCTGCTCGCGACCATCAGTGCCAGGCACCCTACTCCCATATTCCTTTCTATAACAATAACAGCTACTCCATGAACCCCTTGAATTAGATGCAAAATGGCATGAGCTTGTGCTCCGGGGTGGGGGTGGGGGTGCTTAAGATTTCAGTCTTTTAATCAGATTCCCTGAATAGTCTGTGACTCTACAAGGAGCAGAGTCACTGATTTGCTCTCTCGTGTGCACTGTGTGCTGACACTAATGTGCCCTGTGTGTGGCACTGTGGGTAGGGCTCCTCTTCATAAGTGTTGGCGGTTATTAGCACCTCATGCCGCCACAGGATTCCAATGTCCAGCCTCTGCTGGGTCAAAGATGCTTGTGGCTGCAAGTGACCGAGCAGCCATCTAGGAGTGGTGTAAATGACAAACAGGGGTGCCCTCCTCATGACACATCCAGAAGCGGTCACTTTGAAGCTGGTTCTGGATGGCAAGGAGGTCCTCAAGGACTCAGTTTCCTTCCAGTCTCATGCTCTCCTCAGCAAGTGATGGGCATACTGAGGGGTGGGCCTGACAGGCACCCCTGGGGCCAGGTGGTCCATGCACTGTTCCTCACTGTTCGTGGACAGAAAGTAGAGGTGCCAGGAGTATTTGAGAAGGTAGGAAGGGACCTCTCAAGGTACAATTTAGGATGGAGTGGACTTTCCTGCCCTCGACTTTGGACTTGACCATGTGATCTGCTGTGGCCCCCAGAAGGAAGCAGAAGTAACAAGGTGCCAATTCCAGCCCTGGGCCTTGAGGGACCTGTGTGCTCTCACTTGCCTCCTTGTGCCTTTGCCACCACCACGAGAGGAGCAGCTCCAGCTAGCCCACTGGTCAGGCAGGGCATACCCTACTCCCATACTCCCTGTAGAGCCACCATAGGCACCATGGGAGGGGGCAGAGCCCCCAGAAGAACCCAGCCTAGCCTGAACACGGGTCGACCCACACATCTGTGAGAATTAACAGCTCTTGTTTCAAAACACTGAGTTTTGGGGAGGTTTGATACATGGCATTACTGTGGTATCGCAGACTGATACACATCCTCCCTAGACAGGCTGCTATTCAGAGGTTATAGCAATCCCATTAACCAGCTATCTGGCTCCCCTCTACCTGAACTCCCTATTGTGAACCTATCCCCTCACTGATGCAGCCCTGGAGGGAGGCAGAACCCACCTCCCACTGTGGAAGCCGAAAGGGCAAGACACTCCCTCTCCCTCCTTCCTGGCAGCCAGATCATGGGCCCCTGACCCACGGGACTTCAACAGTTTGGGGACAGATACAAAGATGCAGGGCAGTGGAGCAACTATTCAGAGGCAGTGGTGGCCAAGATGATCTAGCAGTGGCACCAGTGCCTCCAGTTACACCCTTAGTGGTGCCCCTACCACCTTTCCTATCCTAGCTTCTCCCTGTGCTTCTCCAGCCTTCCTGAAGATCCCAAGAGCTGCCTGACTTCCTTCTAATAAACTCCTTTTCAGCTCCAAATGGCCAGACTCAGCCTCATTGGCTGCACCCATGAGCCCAACTGGTGCACACAGGAGGCAGGTTACTTAACCGCTCTATGCCTCAGCTTCCCCAGGTGAGATACGGGCATGATAATAACAGGACTGAACTGAAACAATCCAGGCAAAGAGCTTAGCACAGTGCCTGGCACACAGCAAGCACCCAGGAAATGCTAATTGTCATCACCACACATTCTCTAACTTCCAGGAAGCTCAAGGGAAAAAACAGAACTAAGATACTTGAGGCCAGATACACCTTTGTCTCCTTTAAAGTTACTTCAGAACCACAAAGTTCCAACCACCCGTCAAGGGTGGTGGAAGTGATGGGGATGGTAATGATGACAGCTACTCCTTGTCTCCTGTTTTCTTACTCCCAGACTCTGTTCTAAGTGCTTTTCAAATTGTACTTTATTTAATCCTCATACCCACACCATGAGGAGGAACTGTTATTTCCCCCATTTTACAGATGGGAACCCCTTATGAAGGCACAGAGGTTAAGTGACTTGCCCAAAGTCATGTGGACTATAAGCAGTGGCATCAAGGTCTGACCCCGGCACTCTGGCTCCAGACTCTATGGCAGCAGGATGAAGCTATAGAGGCCACAGTAGGCATTCAATAGTACTTGCTTGTGTGTAAGGTGGCCCAGAGAGAAGGCTGTTTCCCTTGCACTGGTCTGCCTCCATGCCCAGCAGAAGCAGCAGGCCTGGCAGCCTGGCTGAGTCAGCAGCTTTAACAACTGGGGAATTTGGCCCCAGAGTCAGAGTCAGCAAAGAGGGCTGGTCCTTGGTGTGAGAACATGGTTCCAATTGAGATTACTTCTGTACTACATGGCTGTTGCAGGTGTGGAGCTCCCGGCCTCACCCCAGGAGCTGGGATGCAGAATCTCCTCCCTCAGCCTCCAAGGAAAGGCGCCCACCTGCCCCTGAGTCTTTGGGTATGGCTCTGCTGACATCTGTCACCTAGACACTAGGTGTTGTGCCCAGGCAGTAGTTGGCAGCCAGATGTGGCCACTGCAGCTCAGAGGACTGAGGTCGCTTGCACAGAGCTTCCTAACTATGTGGTTGTAGAGTCAGGATTTGAACCCACATCTGCCAACCCCAAGGCCTCTGTGACTATAACCAAAAGGAACATATGTCATCTATTAGGCTCACATCTGACTGGCAGTGGCTTGTTTTTGTGTCCTTTTATAACAATAAAAACCAATCACTGACATTTATGGCATGTCAGTCACTGAGAGCCAGACCCTCACATGGGGGACATCATTCAGTCCCCTCAGTCGCCCTCAGAAGGCAGGACCATTTTCATTCCTGTTTACAGAAGAGAAACTGTGGCATGGGGAGGTGAAGTGATGTAGTGGATGTTCCTTTGCCTGCCTGCCTAGTGTTCTTTACGCCTTTTTCTGGGAAGGGCACCCCAACTTCCTCTTGAAGACTTCCCACTGTCAGTGTCGTCAGTCAGGGCGAGACTGTCAGTCAGGGTGCCTTGCTTTCCTCTGGCTTGGCGATGGGCACGTGACCCAGGCTTGGCCAATCGGGCACCCTCTCCTGGGGCTTTGTTGAATCTTGTGGCATGTTTTCACCTTGAAAACTGTCTGCTGGTCCTTGCTGCAAGGCCCCCTCATCTGAGCCCTGCTGATCCTGAGACTTTGTTGCCAGGTGTGACCTCCTCTTCTTCCAGGAAGGCCCCTGTATCTTTGGCCCCTGAAGTCAGCTGAGGGGCTTCTATTGCTTGCAAGTCAGAGTGCTACCTGATACAAGGAAGCTCCCAAAGTTCACACAGCCGGCCCAGGCAGCCTGATGCCCAAGTCCCCTGTTAGCCACTGCCTGGGGTGGGACCTCACCCTGCATGGAACGGAGGACACACAATTCCAGGGGCCTAGAGACATTGCCCAAAGCAACTGTGTTCTCTACCACAATAAAGCCTTTGTGAAAAGGTAAAGTCTTCAACCATTTATTTGATTTGCATGGTCCTCACTCCTTGGGGCTTCACAAAACTCCCTAGACCAAATCCTGGTACCCTAAGAGGCATAAGTACCCCAGTTTGAGATATTCACCTGAAGGACACTTGGCTCCTTTGTTGCTGCCCCATGCCATTGCTCAGGACCCTTGCCTGCAGCTCCAGAATCTCAGAGTCCAGACCCCTCTCCAGGGCTCAGTGTGGCTTGTGTCCAGCATGACGTGTTTTGTTTTTGTTTTTGTTTTTTTTTCTTCTTAGACCACGGTAGGTCCACCCATCCAGAATTCCCAGCTTTGGCATTCTCATCCCTGTTCCACATTTTTATCTTATTCACATCCTCCTATACTATCATATTCTTAATATTTTGTGTTAAGTTGACATATATTTATTCTTTACTTAAAGTCACTACAAATTTTGGAAGACTTCTTTTCACTGCTGGACAGGACACTGGGATCACTGTGCACAAACAGAATGCAACAATGCCCAAGAACAGTGTGCATTACAGTTCAGCCTGCCCCTAGTGCCAGGTCCACCCGGTCTTTGCCTGGAAGGTCCACAGGGGTTAGCAAGGTATTCAAGGTGCCCAGCATCAATCACACTGAGCCTTCCTCCCTGGACATGATCGGAAAGAAGGCCTCAAAGGCAATCAGAAAAGAATCACTTTCTCCATGTGTGAGCTGCTGTTATTTAAGGCCATGTTATGAGTCACATGCTTCACATTTCAGGAAACACTGGTCCTCAAGATACAGGTGAAGGCAGAGAGAGAAAGAAACTTGTCCAAGGCTGCACAGCACATCAGAGAAAGAGACGAGAATGGGGCAATCCCACCCATATTCCAGTTATTTCCCTGGCACTTTGATTTTTCCCTTTAAAGCATTTCAGAGGCTCCCAGCAACTCCTGGTGATGTGGGACCACCTTTCTATCTCTGGCAGCCACTCCCCTTCCATCTGTTGGGTTTGGGCTCTCCTTCTCACCCCCCACACCTTCACTGCACCCCCAGCACCAGTTGCTTCGGGCTCTGCAAATGCAAACTCATTTAAATGTTACCTGGAGCAACACAGAGCTTGAAAGGCAAACAGATGATAAAAATAGACATGACAATCACAGTATCCTAAACTGTCCGATGGTGCTTCCAGACCCTCTTAACCCTTCCTGGAACAAGAATCACAATAATTAGGGACTCCCACCCAGGGAAAACTCAAGCACACATGTAATTTCACCTGTAATTTTGGAGGAGTCAAGAGACCATCCACGTCGATGTTCCATGTTTTCTGTCTCGCAGAGTAGAGTTCTAAGAAAGAGTTTGTTTGTAAAAAGTAATCCCATGCCAAGAATTTGGGAACTGGCCTCGATGATTTTTCAGGCAGCTCCCAGTAAATGAGCTGTGAAGAAAGGCTCAAGGCTAATTGAGAGCAGCATTTCAGTGCCGGCCTTTTGCAAGCAGAAACCTCACCCCCTGACTTATCTCTTTGGGAGGGTAAACCTTGGGGTTTATCTTAAAGGCAGTGTCAGTGAAATTCTTTGACCACTTTGAAGAGAATCCAAGGTGAAATTTCGGCAGGGGCGGAGATGCTGGTCTTGTTCCCAGCCTCCGCAGCCATGGCCTCTACCCGCTGCCTGCACAGTCCCAGGACACCATCTGCACAGAATACAAAAGCAGCCACGCCCTCGAGTTTATGCAACTCTGAGGTCCTGGCCAAGGTCCTGAGTGACCTTAATGTGTGCCTTGCTTTTGTCTTCCCAGTTTCCCCATCTTCACAATAGAGAGTAGATCCTTAGCATCCAGGACCAGACCCATACCATGCCTGCTTCCTTGTCTAGCTTGTTCTAGGACTTGGCATGCATAAGGTCTTGGCCTTTGAAATCTTTTGAACTCTTTGGCCTTTGAAATCTTCTCTGTTCTCATGGTGACTTTGTTTCTTGCAATCATTTGGGTAAACGATGTCTCCCTTGAAAGGAAGTGGTAGGGACAGAAGCTGAACAATAGGGCTGGAGACTGAGGCCCCAGGGGAAGGAAGGATAGATGATTGATGACTGGGAGTGAGAAACTGTTGGAAAGTGGCCTGCAGGGAGAGGAGCAAAAGTACTGATGGTATCTGGCTGCAGTACCAGCAGTTTGAGGGCTGGAGGAATGAAAGCCCATGGGGGGTGTCACGTGGTTGGGAAGGGGCAATTTCCACCTGCAACTGGGGGCTGCCATGAAACCTGATCAGTAGGCTTGTGGCATGGTGCTAATGGCCTGAGGAAGCTGGCATGGGACAGGTGGGGCTGAGAAGCCAGCTCCTGTGGCAAGCTGGGTCAAGAGGCATTTCATGTCTGCTAGGACCCTGCCACAGCCCCTTTGACCCCTTGGGTTTCCTGCACATATTTGCTATAGAACGTGCTTTCTGGCCAGGACTATTGGGCTCTGATGTGTCATCAAGCACAGAATCGAAAGAGAAATGGCCCCTACTCAACTGCCTCAGTTTTCTCATCCATGCTGTGAGAATAATCATCTCCAATGATGCTGAAAGTCGAAGATGGGTGGTGGGTGAAATGGCCCACCCAGGGTCAGGGAGCGGCCCACATGCCTCCTCCTTGGGGCAGCCTGCAGACCCAGTAGATGACCTCCTTGAACCCTCAATTCAGAAGCTGCAAACTCAGCTGCTTATAGCACTTGAAAATCAGGGTACACTGCTGTCTAGTGGTTGAATATTCAGCCCCAAGACCATTCCTTCCATCATTGAGAGGCAGAATAGATAGCAGCCATGAGCATAGACTTTGGAGCCAAATCTGGGTCCAAATCTTTGTTCTGCCCCTTACCAACTGTAAATCTCTGAATTTCAGTTTCCTGATATATAAAGGGATTAATAAATGACAAGATACATCACTGGCAACTAGCATACCTTCTGTTCTGCACCAATGGCAGACATTACTAATCGATCAAGACATCTGTTTTCTCCTTTTGCACCATGGAAAACACTGTGAATTGATTAAGATATTCTGTCTCACTGAGCCTCAGAATCCTTCTGTGTGTCCAGAGCTCCAGGCAGCCACTCCCAATAGATAAGATTTGGCATTTGTGATGAAAGTTTTATGCCATCTCTGTTATAATGCCTATAGAGCACAACTTGTGGCACATAGCTAGACTTGTATAAATATCAGTTTACCATTCAGTCTCTGCTTAGCAAAGAAGCCCTTATCCATTATCCCCAACTTCTGCTTACTCACCTCCAGTGACAGGGAGCTCACTACTTCCTCAGGCTGGCCACTCTATTGCTGGAGACTTCTGATGATTTGGAAGTTTAATCTCCCTCCATGCACCTCTTTTCTCCCTCAAACAGTCTATAGTTCTAAGACAAAATGTTCCCACTTTTCCTGGACTAGCTGTCATTACAGATTGAGGCGATTTATTTTTAGGTGTTAAGTTTGAACCACCAGATGAGTAAAACCTTCTCTCGGCTTGCATGTATTTGATCCCAGACTAACTAAGCAGCTTTAGCATTTGAGGGACATGCATGGGTGAGTGTGTGTGTGTGTGTGTGTGTGTGTGTGTGTGTGTGTGTGTGTGTTGGAATGTGTAGGTGAGGGAGAGAGACTGGGAGAGAGTGAGAAAGAGAATGTATTTTAAAGCCACATAATACACCAGGCCAACATTACTCCTTATGTAAGCCTAATAGCTTCTCTGAGGATTGGGGCTGCATAAGAGGCCCCATCATTAGCTGATTAAGGCTGATTATTCCAACAGGAGGGACATGAAGTTATGTAACTCTCCATTTATTTGGATTTAATCCATGCTTCTAAATTAAGAGCTGGAAGACTTCAAAAATGAGCCCTCATCATTTAGAGGTGGTGCTGGCCACAAGGGGAATATGGGTCTGGTGAGTGTTAGAGTCGCATGGTACCCACGGCTGAGATGGAGGTCCTTGCAGGGGCCGGCGAGGGAGGGTGGTTCACAGTGCCAGGAGCACTTGTGTGGGGAGCCAGTGCATTATGCAGTGGGCATGGGGGAAAGCGGTGGCACCTCAGGTGGTCAGCATTGTGATGAGAGAGGGAACTGAAACCCAATGTCCTGAGGGGCTGGGCAGTTCTGGGAAATCCTGGACAGTTGTGGTCATCCCTGGGGTACAGCCTGTTCATGTGTGTGATCTAGTATGGCCACTTCCAAACAGATCTCTTTTGTTGGGGCTCAGCTTTTTTGCTGTTCTAAATATTTAATTCAGGGGCATGGACAGTTACTGTATCATTCAGGTTATACACTTACACTGCATGCGGGCACTGCATCTGAGTGAGTACATCTCACCACAGACAGAGTGAAGATTCACATATGTATGAGGATAATTTTTCACAAATGGCCTCAAAGGATGTTCCAACAGAGTTATTAAAACATTTTTCTGGAAGCTGAAAGTCAAGTGTCTTGAGCAAAAGGAGCCTCTTTCTGATTTGCACAAAGACACTGTAAGGGCTGGCAGCAACCTGGCTCTATGCCCACTCGTCCACTGGTGCTGGTTGGATCCAACTCTGAGTACGAGTCACAGTGATCCTGTTCAGAAGAAGCTGCTGAAAACAGGATAAAGAGCAGCTACAGGGCTATGGCTAGCATTCAAGGTCTCAGAAACATTTCCTAGGCCGTTGCAAAGAAGTGATAACACTCTTTAATAGAACATGAGCTAAGGTGCAGATAAAAGCACTTTATTAACTGTGAAGAATCCACACCCTTTTTAGGATATGCTATCAAATGTGTTACAGTGGAACATGAGCCAGACTTGGGCTCAGCCACTTTCTAGCTCTGTAACACAGGATGAATCACTTCACCTTTCTGGGCTCCAATTGGATCAGCTGTAAAATGGAAACCAGGTGGCTCCATTGCCACTTAAGAATCAAATGGAAAAATGGCTATGAAAGGCCCTGTCCCAGAGCCTGGTTCATAGTGGGTACTCTATAAATGCTTGATTTCTCTCTCAATACTACTTTAAAGTATCCAGGCCATTTGAACACTGGAATGTGATTTTTTTTTTAATCCTGTGTACTTAAAACAAAATTCAAATTCAATAACTTGGTTTTAATAATCCCACATGTACCTTGCCCACCAGTCTAAGCTCACCTGCCACTCAGTCCCCAGCTCACTCCACTCCCTGAACATACCAGAACCAGGCCCATCTCAGGACCTCTGCCCTTGCTATTTCTCTGACTGTTGTGCTCTTCCCTCATCCTCGCAGGACTGGCTCCTTCTTGCTCGTCAGGTCTCAGCACAAATGTCACCTCCTCAACGTAAAGTAGCCCCTGGTGCTTCCTCCTACTTTACCCTGTCTTAATTTTCTGCATTGTTCTTTACTGCTTTCTCATGCTCCATATCATCACTCACCTGTGTATTTTCTGCCTCCACCATGCAAATCCAACCAGCACAAAAGCAGAGAATTTTGTCTGTCTTGCCCACCTCTGTATCCTAAACCACAGGTGTCTACTAACTATTTGCTGATGCATGAACAATGCTTGTAAGGAGAAAGAAGAGAGGTCAGCTCCTTCCAAGCTTGCCGAGCCCGTCTGCACCTCATCCTGTCCTGCTCCCTTGCTCTTTCTCTTCTTCACCCCCGCTGTCTGTCCATGGGATGGTTTCTCTTTTTGTCCACATCGCTCTCCTCTTCCACTAGATGACTTCCTATGCTCTTTCTTGATTCCCTTGCTTGTCCTGCAGAGAGCTTAAAACATGTTCCATTTTCAAGAGTAGGGTGGTGTTAACCTCCCATTTTTCTCATCTTCTGGAATCTCTGCCTGTCAGCTTCGGTCCTCTGCTCTTTGACTGTGGGTGGGAGGCACAGAGAGACAGTGTGGCAGTCATGGGTGGGAGGAGGATTTAGATAAATAAGGGGCCTGCTGCCTCCAGAGGCAATGAGATCCTCATTCCCAGGCTGAGTGAGGGCCAAATAACCACTTCCTCGTGATGCTCCCAGCTGCATCCTTTGCAGAGGGCCACAACCCCAGATGCTGCTGCAGACAAGTTACTTCTCTTTACTTCTTAAAACAAGGTGTTTCCAAATTAGCTACTGAAGGGCTTTGGTGAATTGGTTTGGCTTACACCAACTGTTAAATGGACTAAAGAATTGGAATGGCATTTACTTCACAGTTTGCAAGTCTCTTTCATAGGTCATTCATTCGGCAAATGTTTAGTAAGCACCTACTAAATGCCCCAAATGGTTCTAAGTGATTTTCATACAATAATTTATTCATGAGGCAGGTGCTATTCTTAGCACTGTCCCCATTTTACAGAGGAGGTATCTGTGGCTCAGAGTTGGGTTGACTATAAAGCTCAGTGTCTTAGTCTGTTCAGGCTGCGATAGCAACATGCCACAGACTGGGTAGCTTATAAACAGCAGAAATGCATTGCTCACAGTGCTGGAGATTGGAAATTTG